CATCCGGTCAGTGCAAGAATGAATAACACATTTTATATGTCATCATCCTTTAGGATTTGGCACTCATCCCACCGTACGGAGGGTCACGGCCTTCTTTCCTCACAGACAAGAGACGATAAAGAGAGACAGAGAAGGTGATGCGCAAACACAAGAGAGGAAGATGCTGTAAGTGGATGCTGTAGATACTGTAGGGAGACGTGTGTGTTTGTGTATCAGTGTTTTGTGTGCCAGTTTGACGCAGTTAAGTTAATCTCATTATGTGATACTAGACGAGTGTGTGACTACGAGGTCGTCAGTTTGTTGGAAACTGTGACCAGGAATGTGGGTCAGAAGATCACACAGCAACATTATCTTGTGTCGCTGCCGAGTCACAGCAAACGAGTAATTTCTGCACTTTTCATTAGGCGCATTTTGACGCACTGTGTGTGAGTTGTTTCTCTGTGAGTCCGTGTCCCAGAGCATCGTAGTCGGTTTTTTGTGTGTGCAGAAGGAGTAATGCATCCCTGCAGCATGTTCTGTGCTCGCGTGAGCTCTCACGGCAGCTTTCACGCTAGCTACTGAAATCCAGGTCACGCACAAAAAGGAAAAAAAAAAAAAGTCCACAACTCATCGCAAACGTAACCTGTGTGTGTGTACATGCATGTTTGTGTCTGTGTGCTGTACGCGTGTCCAATGCATGTTTAAAATGTGACAGCAGTAATTAAAGCTAAGGAGGAGACTGATGCTAACTCTGTAGCGGTAACCCATGGCAACCCAACCAGAAGAGAACATGTCTGGTTCATTAAAAAAAAAAAAAGGTTGAAAACCATCTAAGCCAGCATCTAAGCCAGCATCCTGAGAAGCTGTTCAATCCAAAAAACACCTTAAACCTTTAAGATTGGCAGGATGACTTGGACACTTACATACATTACTTCTTCTACTTGCTAAAAATAAATCTATAGATATATTAATAATTTCTTGAGCGCAATATGTTTATTCACTGTATTATCTACAATAGTTGATCTATGTTTACACTATCCAGTTCTTTGCTGACCCAGTTTCACCGCAGGTTCATTAAACTTTCAACTAATCTGATCTACTCCAATCATACTCTCTACACACTGAGCCATAGAGACTTAAAAGGGAAAGGTAAAACCTTCCATCATGGATGAGATGTTTGAGTATGTGGGCTTTATCAATCCATGGAGATTGGTTTAGTCTTGATTCACTAACAAAATCATCTTCCAACTCTCATTTACTGTCATGAGCCACTGAGATGAGTTCTGTGCACACGGTTTCTGGAATCAGAGTCATCTGAGTTTGAAAGTGAAAAAGGCTTGAAATTGAAGTTGATGTAGAAGTTCCTTAAAATGCAGTACCACCAATGGTCACTGGGTGCTGGCTTCAACAAATCTCTCGCTCCAATAGACTCATCTAAAAAGTTTCAAGTCAATAAATTATTGCCACCAGTCATTATGGTTTTGTGAACTAAATTCACTCCTTCTGTTTCCTGCATTGAGGTCATGGGAGAACATAAAGTGCAAAATGGGGCATTTTAGCTGCTTTTTCTGCATGTAGACCACATTAGACCAGGTCCAGATCAAAACCACTACACTTAGACAGGCCAATTTAAGAATAGATTTCAACCAAGAAGAAGGGATGTGAATTTTAACACCGACTGTGTTCGTCTGCTTCTGAGACTTAATGAAACATGGATGGAAACACTCTGATTGTAAATGTTGTTACAGCACATCTTTATTGTCCAAAATGTCAGTATGGCTATTGGCCTCAATAACTCAATAACTATTCTCACAGTAAATACCTTGATTTAGAAACATCTAGACTCTGGAAGAACAACTTAGTCGTGAAAGTTTTCACAAAAGCAGGAAACCTCGTCCTTGGATTGGATTTTATGATTTATTTTTTAGGATTTAAGGCAAAATCTGAGAAGACCTGACATCATATTAAAAATCCTGCCATGCTTCTTAGCATTTAACTCACATGAAAACACTTTGAGTCACAACTGAATATCCAATGTACTGTTTCCATCTGAATAATTATTGTTGATAGTTTTTGTTAGTGCGATACTATAATTGCCGTTGTATTTAGCACTTTGCTGGAGTGACAGTAGTGGATGTTGACATTTTTAGGCTTTGTTGGCTTTGCACTTTGTTGTAGCATGTCACCACATATCACGTCATATTTGGATGATTGTGCACCACGCAATGAGCTAAACCGCATCATGACACCATAACTGACTTGCTTGAGAGGGCAAGAAGAGGTAAATAATAAGCCTACCACTGGAAACTTAAACGAGCACCCCTTTATCTGCATGACGTGGCAAAAGGTAAGGAGCAAGCTCGACTGTTGCTATTTTTAGAGAACTCACAGGTGAAGCAGCAGTCCATAAATGACTATGAATGATGTAGAGGGTCGCATATATCCCTGTGAGTGCTGCTAATTTGACATGAAGGCTTGTAGTTTTGCAACCACAGCGTTTGTAACCAAGAATGGGTAAAGTGGTGAACTGGGTCAGGGTCAGTAGCTTACAGAACCAGAGAGACGGAGCAGCAGGAATAAGAATATAAAAAAAGAAAGAGGAGAAAAAAAGTCAAACAAAGCCCCAAAGTCATAAAATGCTGTTGAATTTTGCATGTTACCTGTTATGCCAATCTGTCTGGCATCAACATTTGTGTTCTTTTTTTAGCTTCTAAAATGCCTCCGGGGCTCTGAGCTCTGCGGTCACTGGAATCAAGCATTTATTCATAACCAGGTGAACGCAGAGCTGAGCAGCAGGGACGGATGAGGAACCTGGGGCCGCTCGCATGGGTCAGATCCTGTCCTGACAGGGTATAGCTCCCCCATCCCGCTGACTTTCAATCAAATATTCACTATCTCCTGCAGAGCCAACATTTAAACACCAATAGCCAGCAGAGAGGGAGGGCAGAGGGAGGCAGGCAGCGCTGGATGGGGGTTGGGGAGGTTGCGGACATTCATAATCCAGAGCAAAGAGAATGCCTGCTCCTATAACCAATCCTCTATTTTGGGAAGTGTCTGTCTGCCCCTGCTGTGTCCCCGAACAGGAACACCGAAGCAGCTGCATGACGAGGGGAAGCTTTTGGAGCAGAACATGGGCTTTTCATGTGTAAAAAGGCCACAAAAACATGGATTCATTGTGCATCTATGAAGGAGAGCATAGATGTTCATTGGGGGTATAAAGGGAGGATTGAGAAAGGAGGTCTATTATTAGCTCCATCTTTCTACGCTGCCAACATGGATGTGTGTGTGCCATCAAAAAACATTAAATCCAAAGAGAAATGTGTGCACGTCCTCGCTCCGATACAGATTAGACGAGCGCACACACAGACACACACACACTGATAATGAGATTTAAACATTCAATTCCATTATTTTGGCAGGAGGGTTGTGGTGTTAACGGGCCGGGTTTGGCACAGCCGCTGGGTTTTCCTATTTAGAACAACTACCCTGTTCCTAAATCTGATATCCTGAAATGAGCATTTCCCGTATCGCTTTTCTATCTGATACTAGCTCTCCTCGGAAGGCTGAATGTATGTCAGAGATGAATTTTGAATATGCATGAGGAGGAAGGGGAAGGAACTGGGGCAGGGAAGTGGAACGTCATGACCAGGAGTTACTATTGATCCACGCAGGAGACGATGAACCTGCACAGCTGCCTTACCTTCACTCTGACCTTTATGTGAATACAAATGCAGATCACACAGCGTGTAAAGCTGCTGCAGTTTTCACTCGGCGGTTATGCTGACACTGTTTACTTCTTCTGTCTAGTTTACATTAATTAAATTTGTTTTTAAAGGCTGTACACTGTTTGCAATTTTGGTTCTGTGTAGACAGTTTGCCAAATAAGCAAAGATGTTCTGAGGACTTTTAAATTTTGGCTCGACACAAAACACTCTGCGTCTTGTTTACATTTATTCCAGATAATCATGGTTTTAATTAGGATGCCCGAGTGGCCTTTAAGGCACTCATCAACAGCAATATCCTCTGGTGGAGGAGCTTTGTTGCAGTTTGTTTTCCATTTCTCTCCTCCCTCATCTCCTCTCAGCTTTATGATCCAGGCAGCATCAGGTAAACATACACAGATCATCCACGTTAATAACCAGCCACAAGCCTTTTTGATTCTTTAAACGCTCCAAATGCAAACCTTAGAAGCATCACATATAATCAGCAATAACTACCAAAAATGTCGACTAATTTTTATTTTTACAAGACAGCATGCAGCCGAGTAAGAGAGATATATAAGAATGAACCAAAGTACCGTTATCCTAAGAAATCTCACAAATCACATTCGGATCCTCGTTCACATAAATCCAATTCATAAAATGTCCAATTCCTTTTTTGTTGAGTCTAGTTCTTCTTGTGCACAAACCGTCTGTATATTTTGTGTGATGTGGAGAGATGTTGATTGTACTCAGTATTGTTTTGAATCACTCTCCAGTCAATGATCACATCCTTACAATTACATCTCTGTCTATCAAAATTACGTACTCAGACGTTTTATCTATGAACAATTATATCTTAAAATGGCTCAGATGGAGCTTAACACCATTGCTCTCTTTGAAATGTGCAAATCTATGAAGTCTTTGCCTGTTTTTCCATCTGTCTCTTTGACGCTCGCTGCAGCTTAAGCATACCAGCTCATCTATGACTCTAAACATCACAAAACAACTCTGAACTACACAATGGAAAGTTTCACCATTGGAGTAATTCAGTCGATCATGTTTGAACCAGAAACTGATTCTGAAGAAGAACACTGAAACAGAAACACTCCTTAAGTGTGTTACACATGAAACTCTGGCTGTCTGAATTTGTGTTTTTCAGACTCTCGTCGGGACATTTTTAGGGTGGAAAAGCTCAACGTTGGTGTCGACTGCTTCTTTCTCTCATGATACGTCTTCTAGCACATGCAAAACACCACATACACATGACAACAAGGTAAAAAGCTTGATTTGAAAAAAAAAAGTGAGCAGCGTGTTTCTTACCTCTCCATAGTCCGTTGTAACCACGAGGGTTCCATCCCCACAGGAGTTGACGGTGGCCGGAACCAGCTGCTCCTTCTCTCTGACCCAAACCCGGGCCCCCTAGACCACACAAACACACATGTGCACTAAGGTTAGACACTGTGACCAGTACAGAAATGAGTTATATTTGGTTATGTAAAGCGGTGAGCACAGTGGAAGACTTCAGCTGTATCTGTTTTGTTTTTTAACATAATTTATTTAGTATTTTTATCAGATCCCACCACTCTTTATTTTAGTTTTTTAAAAAAGGAAAAGAAACACACACACAAGTGAATCAAAAGGCAATCTAAATCAAATAACGGTAATGGATGTAAACTACATCTGTAGCTCTTTGTTCTTTTGTTAATAAAACGATAATACACTGCAGACCGTCCATTTGAAAACACTCTCATCAGCCATTCAAAACCAAATAATGGCAGACATCAACTCTTGTGGCAACTGATAATGTCCTCTGAGGTGTTTCACTACAGTGTAAGAAGACAGCAGTGGCTATAAAGGCAGCACAATGTCACGAAAAGTGTTGTAAAGTAAATAATCTGGGGTTATTTTATAGGTTTGGTATCAGAGTTGGTACACATGATGAGCAGTGCAGACAGATGTGTTAAATAGGAGACTGTAAACACGAACATCTGGCTATTTCTCTGTGTGTGTGTGTGTGTGTGTGTGTGTGTGTGTGTGTCTCTCAGGGTCACAGGAAGTGTGCTCTTCCTCGACCTTTCCACTCAGACAAAGCCCTCTTTCATACAGTCGCTGACCTCTGACCTGAAACCCCTAAAAAAGGGGCTCAGCCAAACAGAGGAGGGAGAGAAGAGTCAATGGAGCGACTGACTTACTGTAAAGACGCCACCACATGCCCTCTTCTACATTTTGCTATTACTGCACCAACATTTGTGATTTTACCAAGCGTTGCCTCTAGAAGATAACTGCAGAAGTGGCATCACGGTGTAAATTAAGTTAATCATAAATAATAATATTAAATAGAGGAACCATTAATGCTGCTTAATCACTCGTCCCGTATCTTTTAGATGGCTTAAAATTCAAGTTTTAGGTCAAAGCGACAGGGAAAGTGCTTGGTTTTACCTAAATAAGTTAAATGGTTAAAAGTTGATGTACTTTTTTAAATACAGAACTCACAGTTAGCATTTGTAAGCAAAAGACAAACATGAGATAAATGACTATAACACACAATGTGGGAAGATTCAAGTGTTTGTTGTGTTTTTCTTTCGTTACATAATATTATATCGTTAGCCTCATAGCATAACTGCCTAAGTCATTTTTTGGTCAAATTGAGATATTTGCCTAACTTTACTCTCCTATCACTTCTGCATCATCCTGTCTTTCTACCTATGTCATTGGCCAATCACTTCTGGTTGAATGTACTGTTAAAAAAATCAATAATAAATACCAATGTCATTTCTAAAAATTGTGTTTTTTCTCATTTCCCAAAAACATGAAAATATGACTTAGGCAAGTATGCTATGAGGCTAACGATATGTCTTTGTCAAAAAAACTACAAGTCCTTCTGAGGGCATCTAAAAAGAGGCTCTTATTACATAATATGTCTTCAGAGGACAAGTTGCTGTTATTGACAAATACTGCACATACAGATGTTATACAGTGTTCTAAACCATTCACAAAACCTGCATACTGTACATATACAGTCTGTGTGAATGTCAGAGAAATAAGCATCCAATCTGTTAAGGAGCTCATCTCATTATGCAGAATGAATATTTTTCTATGAACATATAAGTAAATTAACTCTCCCAAAATGTAACTATTTGAATGAACACTTTTCTTTATATTTTATTTATTTTAGTATTTGCTGCTTTATTCAGTTTATCATTGTAAATTCGATATGAGAAAAAAAATCCGATTTTTCACTTTTTTCTGACATTTACTCCACATCATTTAATGATGATGCAGATATTTGATATTTATTTGGTTAATATATATTATTCTCTTTTTTCAAGTCTTGTGAAGTCATTCTCACCCTGTCATCAATGTGTTCTGGGATTTTTTTTCGCCTTTTTTTGTGCATTACTGGTGCTAGCAATATTATATTATATGGATGTTCTTGTTGTAGAAGCAAAGCTTCTTGACACAAACGCTCCAGTCTATAACCTAAAAAAGGGTTTAAGTCCTAAAAAGACGCTACGGGACACCAGATGTGTCTGTGTGAATGAAGTGAGCAGCAGCGGAGGAGTGGAAGTGCATTGTTTTAGCAGCAGATGGTCCCACATCCCCCAAGCATTACCTGACAACATTTATCCTTTCATTTTCCTCTACTCTCTATTTCTTCTTTATTTTTCTAACACTCAATCCTGCACACATGCACACTGATGACAAAAGAAAACCAGTCACGCCCCAGGCGACGGAGCTAACCTGGCAGGAATCAGTCACACATACAGTATTCTATATATACACACAAATGGGTTGCTCAGGGGAAAGCTTCGGGGGTAAATGTCTTCATGCATTTGGATGCAGACTTTAACACTGCTGGCTGGTGCCAAACATATCCTCCTGCAGTTCATCCTTTGCATTAGTCTTTGTACGAGTCTCCTTCACTGCTCTGTTGTTCTTTCCTCAGCAACTCCCTATATATAGTCCCCTCACTGCTCCTCTAGATCCTCTCTGTGCAGCCAGTCAGCCTGTCTCATCCCTAACTCGTCTGCCTGTCAGATTCCAGCACACTGAGCTATTATAATGACCTAATGACCTCCCCAGCCTCAGGCTCTCTGCTCACAGTTCACCAGTACTTCACTACATCCTGTTTTAGCTGATAAATTGACCCCTAACCCTGCTTAAATCTCCAACACTGGTCCTTTAGCCTCAGTCCTGTAGCGCTGTAGTGGTACAGACATAAATGCATCGCCGAATGTCCACCGTGGATCATGTGTTAATAGATGCTTCTGCTTTCTGTCTCGCTCTCTCTGTCTCCGTCTTCTCTTTAAGTAAATTGGTCTCTAGTCCCAGATCGATGTACTATCCCAGGGAAGGGGAGACAGAGGGTTATAAATGACCTGCCAGCGTTACAACCTATACCCAACACCCTCATCCTCTCCTCCCCTGCTTTGTGTTCCCCTCCCCTCCCCCCTATCTATTACTGGCCCAGACAAACAAGAATGGCCATGCATGACAACAAACTCCAACCCTTGCTGTGCACTAAATTCTGTGGCCACAACACCACATCACACCCTCTCCATCTCTGTGAAATCCAAACCGGCCCGCAGTCAAACTCAGGCCTCCAGCTCCGTCCATCACCTTTTCGTCAGGCTCCATTAAACATCAACCGACCTCGATTGTCGCTTGAGCCTCAAACATGACCCCTGACCTCGAGCGTCGCACCCTGCTGCAACAGGAGCTGAACGAGTACTAAAACATCCTGCCCAATGAATGCTATCAGATGAATTTCTTCATGCAAGTTAGGAATAATGAACTGCTGCTACAAGCACAATATTCAAGTATGTGATTACAGCTGGGCTATACATTGTGATGATGGCTGATGATTAATAGTGTTTTGCTCTCTACCAGAAATGAATCTTTTCCACAGCTTAATTGGATGAACGCACCACTTGTTCAACCTGGCAGCTATTCTGAAAATGTCACTACACTTGTTTCTAGATACACTTGAAGCAAGAAAACAGGCCACACTGCTGCAGAATGAGTCCTCGCTCGTACATTTGTGAACTCTACTGATTCTAAGTAGATGGTTATCAAACCGCAATGTCATGCTGACACCTGGGTTTGTGAGATGTACTCAGGTTTGAAAACAAATATAAGCTCTCGAATCTCTGCAACGACAACATCACTGAAAGCACCGAGGATCTGTTACTGCCTGATGACATAAACTTTCCATTCTCTGTAATCTGATTTAATATTGATCAAGCATTAATAGAAGCCTATATGGTTTCAAACCTTTGTCAAAGTCAAAGGAGGGGAGATAAAAACATCACAACTCAGTTAAAGGACACAGAGAAGCAATATCTGTTGTTGACAGGTGAAAACATGACTCAACCTTTTTCCCTTCGTGTATCAAAGCCTCTCAATAGAAGGAAAAATCAGAAGGGAAGATTATACCGACAAGAAAAACGGGAGGACTAATGAGAAAATCCTGACCATCTTATAATCTTTCATTACTGAAAACACAAAGGAGAGCGTCCCCGGAGCGCTCGGCCCAGACGTCTGAACAGCTGTGTGTGTGCGATAAAGGGCTTGTTTCTGCTCAGGCGGTTACATGGACGCCCGTGCCATTTGATTGAGGCATGGCCCCGGAGACGGTCTCTGATGAAGGACCCCTCACGCCCCAACAAGCACTGATGAATCGTCGGCGCAAACATACAGCCAGCGTCTGCAGGCGGACACACTTTGATATCGAACCGTGCAGCCGAACTGACGGAAACAAACACCAACAGTGCGAACAGATGTGCAGTTTCTCTTTATGTCCATATATATTACATATTGTTTCCTCTCAAATATTTACACAGATTTACAGGAATCTATGTTAACATGTCATGCTGTTTTTGGTGCACATGCCCACTAACAGTCTGCCTTTCTAGCAGATCATGTGCATGTTCAGATGTTACTGATGTTAGCATGTTAGCAAGTATAATGTTTATCATGTTTTCCATCTTAAATTAGTGTTGTAGTGTGCTTACATTATCTAGTTACTACTAAACACAAAGTTCAGCTGAGGTTGATGAGAATATTATTGCTTTAAACCAATAATATTCATTACCCCACAGAAATATCAACTAAAACTTTGACCTGATGACATGCAGTTATGTCATACATCGACATGTTTCAGCCCGTAAATTTTGTCTGACATGTCTGATGTTGAAAACTTGTTTTCCTGCTTTCTGGTAATTCATTTTTTTGTACCAATTTGTGCCTTTTCTGCATCAAGTTATCGTATAAATGTCATTTTCATGTAAAAGAAAATGCAAAATTCAGGCACAATGAGTAAAAGTTTCCTAAATATTGAGGAGGATGTTTGCCCTGAAACCTACCTCCTATGATAAATGAACCATCCTTAATGTAGATATTGAGTTCAGTCTGGAATGAAGTGATGGACAGACTGATATTGTCATTCCTAAAGCTGTGGCTAAAGTGAATACTAGAAATAAAGGTAAAGAAACCATAAGCTAAGAGATATATTAGAAGAAAAAGACATAAATGTTGTGAATCAATAAGTTGTAGATGCTAATAGCAGGTATTTAATGGAAAAAAGTGAACTTTAATCAAAAAGCTGATGAAAGGAACCACAATCCAGACATATTAAAAGCATGGAGACCTGTCAGCAATTAACCAAAAATCCAAAAAGGTGACAAAAGCGTGGCATAAACTGAAACTAGAAATAAAGGAAGGCAAAAAGGCTAAAAAAAACCCCAAAAAACTAAAGAATTCAGGCAGGTGAACAGGAAGTCTACCATGAGGGAGACAAACAGGGTAATAAGCAGGACAAACAAGACAGAGGGACAGACAAGAATATTCAAATACTGAGAATTAATTGGGGAGACAAGACACAAGTGAAACTAATCAGGGCAATCAAAAGAGAACATAAGTAAAAATGCAGGCGACACAAGAAAAGGCAACTTCAAAATAAAATAGGAAGTAACTGAAAAGGGACATGAAGCCTCGACACAGACAAACATGAAGGGAAAGACAAGAGTGAATCACAAAAACAAATCAGACCCAGAAACCAGAAACCAAATGCATGACAATAAATGAATGACAGACACAGAAAGAGAGAAGACGAAGCATATCTGTCAACCGGACTGTCATGGACAGACAGGACAACAAAACACAAGACAAGAGGGACAACGGAAACGAAACTAGGAAATACCCACAACGCTAAAAAGAGGTTCCAAAGGTTAAAAGTAAAGGATGGTGAAGAAGACACAGAGTGACAGAAACGAAACACAAATGAATAAATGATGACAGAAGCAGCTGACCAGTCAGTAACTAATGGAAGGAAACCGAAGACCAGTGCGGAGGTGGAAGGACGCAGCAGGATCTCCAGAGAATAAAGGTCAAAGGTGCTCAAAGAGAGGACTCTGAATGTGTGGGTTTGTCTGTCTCTCTGTCCAGTTGCTTCATCACACTCATTAGCTACAGCTACTTAAAGCACAACATCCAAACAGCTGCTTTTCTGTCTTTCTTTTCCCACATATGTTCTCCCATCCACTCTGAAAGATGTTATTGTGCTCCACCAGATTTGTTTGGAAACCCCCAATTATCCACCTGCACAGTCTCTGCTCTCTTCGTAATGATGGATGTCTGGCAGGAGAGTGGCTCTAAGTGCTTATGTGAGTTAATCAGGCGAGAGGAAAAGGGCCAATGTGGTTTTGGTCAATCACAGTGTTTGAAACTGATATTATAGGATGCTTACAGTGTTTACAAGACACGTCCGACTGAAGGATGCACTGGTGTGGTATTACATTTATGAGTGGAAAGTTTCATGTGTTAGGATGTGATAATTTAGGAAATGTCAGCACCACAGAAGCTTGTGCCTATTCCTAAATATTTCTAAAATCATGCGTCAGCTCTAGTAGCGATCTGAAAAGAGCCAGATCTTATAGCTTGATTCTTGTTGTCTTCTTGGCAGACCACAACAGCGAGCTCCTGTCTTATTGACCAACTGAATGAGTGACCAAGCTACTCCAGTGCTAGACTTTCCCCATTGGTCACTGCTTTTTCAAGATAAATCATTGCAGCTCATTCCAATACTCTGCATGTGAGACGTTCACTGTTTACATCTCTCCCCTTCTAAACTGCACAAGTCTCTGCATGCACATCAGTCGCATACCACACCACCCACAAGTAAATCCTCAGCCTGTGGGAAACACTGCAGTGAAACGACGACAAAAAGAGCGGCTCGCAAGAACCCTTTGTTGGTACCAAAGAACCATTCAAAAGAATCAGGTCATTCTCAACAGCACTAATCTTCAGTATAACCTGAGTCTTACACTAACTAAATATATGAGGGTGATCAGTTTGTTTCAAGCAGAGCAAAAACAAAGAGCACGTCTGATTCTTAGAATGCAACCAACTAAGACACTGCAGACGTCAAAATGTGAGCAACTGCAATGTTAAGTTTCTAACCCTGCATCATTGTTCTCTTTGATATTTTCTGGTATGCTGGAAGTTTTTTACCATCTCAAAGAATAGATTTACTCGAAAGCAACTATGAAAACTCAAAGAGAGATTCTACTCTGCAGTCAAACATTCCTTCTGCTGCCTGTCAAAGCCATAATGCAATTGGAGGCTTGTCGTACACGTCAGGATCAAGTTCAAATTAGCTGCCGTTCACTCTACTGTCGAGTTTTCCCTTTTGGAGTAAAAGCCCCTTCAACTTTGCCGGCATCATCAGTCCATTAAAGTGACGGCATTTTGTCATTCAGACAAAGCTTATTTTTACGTTAATGTTCCTCATGGCTTCATGACAGCAACGATGGTACGCACGCAACATCA